ACGCTATTTAAATCCAGGCTCAGAATGGTTCCTTTTCACTGTGCATATGACTGAAAGGTTTTCATTCCGCCCTCTTCTCTCTAATTTATGTCTCTTTTAATTTGAATCTTTATAATTATTTGTTTTTATTTGTTTTTATTGTGATTTTAATGTGTTTCTTATTCTTTAAAGCACTTTGAATTACTTTGTGTATGAATTGTGCTGCACAAATAAACTTGCCTTGCAGTGCAGAGCTCTAGTGTAAAGTTTCAGATAAAATCACAAAGATAAAGTAATAAACATGTTTAAATAGTTGAGCAGTTGTTCTCTGGCGCAGTACGTGAGGGGAGTAATGGCCGTCGTGATCAGTTCACGTGTCTGTGTTTGAGCCAGTTTGTTGGACTGTTTGACAGGATTTCATCAGACCAGGAAAAGCTGGGAAATGTCTTTTTTAGATTTGAGCCAGCCTGCTGATCCAGTGTTTGGATTAAGAAAACTCACCCAACCCAACTTCTTTCTGCTCCACCTTCCTCTTCCTCCACACTACTATTTGGAGCCAGCGTCAGGGGTTTCAGGGAATTCCTATTCAAAGGATGTTGCTGTCAGAAGAAGATAACATGGCACGATTGTTCTTTGGTCATTGATTCTCCTCACAATTTACATACTTGAACTTTGTCTTTTTGTTTTTTCAAAGACCTGTTGCTGCTCATTGTGAGATTTTGCAGCAGTGATGGAAGAAGTATTGGATTTTACTTAAGTACAGATACTGGATAGGGCTGAACGATCTATCGTTTTTGACAGAAAATCGCAATCTTGGACAACACAATTTGACACGAGTGTCAGAGCCATTGTTTTTTGCAGTGCTCCTAAAGCCCAATTTAAGGGCGAAGTTTAGTTCTGTGTTTACTCAACGCACTCTGCCGCTGTTGTTTTGTTGCCGTCATTTTTGATTTAAGGGTCTGCTTCGATCTGGTCTGTGCAAAGTAATTCACCACAACGCTAGGAGGCCAGGATTTAAACCTGTCGTTCATGTAAAGTTTCAAATGAACCATCTGCAATGTGATAGAAACACAGAATAGACTCACCAGCAGCAGCACATCCTCGGTCACAGAGAGAACACTCACACTTCACTGAATCGTGTCCTTTAGTCTGACAGAAGCTGAACCGCATCAGCACACAAGGAGCGACCTGTTTTTTTTCCGCTCTTATAGTTTATGCAAATGACTCATGTGGTTTTAAATTTTGTTTCTGTAAAACATAAACAAATGTGCACAAAACTGCATGAAACACATTATTAATCAATGTATACTGAAAGAAAGGAAAGCGGAGTATGTGGAGTCGTGGCTGCAGGATTGTGGTGTGATTAAGTTTCTGTGATGTTTGCAAATGTTCATGTGCACTGAAACATGGATGAAATTGAAATCGCAATATCTTCCAGAAAAATTGCAATTTAATTTTGTCTTAAAATTGTTCAGCCCTAAAAAAGGAGTAAAAAATACAGGAGTAAAAGTATCACATGAAAAATCTACTTAAGTAAAAGTATTAAAATACTTGTTTAAAAATCTACTTAAATAACAGAAGTATTTGCTAAAACTTCAAATGTATTGATTTTGATTCAGATTTGATCAACAGAATCAAGTGAAGAGTCCATGTGCCAATCGCTTTTAAGAAATTTAATAAAGAACAAAAAACAATCAAATGAGAAAACAGTTTATTTCATTATTCTGTTTATTCTGTCTAACAAAAGAACAGATTTCGACCTAGGGGTGAGCGATATCTCGATATTTAAAATATATTGAGATATTTTTTAAACACGATATGGATTTTGACATCGTATATATCGATATAATAAAGTTATTTTTGTATGCAGTGTTGTTTATTTAATGTCACAGAAGCACTTTTTTCCTAAATGAACATTGTGGAATTTGGCATATTTGTTTTTGCAGTAGTTTTGGGGGGGTTATTTTTCCTGTACACATATTGAGATATTTATCGTATATCGAGATATACCAAATATATTGAGATATATTTTTTCTTCCATATTGCCCAGGCCTATTTTGAACTTTATATCCAATATTTAATTTAAAGTTTATTTCAAACAACACCAATCAAAAAAACGTTTCAGTGCCTATTTTATTGGTATTTTATTCTCTGGTTTATATGAAGTTCTGCTGCTGAAGAACTGACCTGAAAAATCATTGCAGTTTTGTGGACCAACATGTGTTATATCAGGACATGTTTACTTATGTGTGTTAGGAAGTCATTGTTGAACTTCATGATGAGAAACGGGAAGCAGCGATAAACTCTCATTTGTTCAGCTGACTCCACAGAACTATAATAATACAAGTTTTTATTACAGATCCATGGTTGACACTGTGCTGAGCAGCACAACTTCCAGGGAAAATAAAATATCCAAATTAAACTAGGCACTGAGACTGTTTTTTGATTGGTGTTAGTTGAAATAAACGGTAAATTAAATATTGGAAATAGAGGTCAAAATCTGCTTTTTTGTTTGACACTAAAACGGAATAATGAAATCACAAACTGTTTTCCCATTTGATTGTTTTTTGTTCTTAAGTGAAGTCTAAAAGAACAAATGGACTGTGAAGGAAACGTTTTTTTCCAGTTGTTTTTATTTGTATATTTTTGTTTGCTCAAACTACAAATGAGTTAAAAATAAACTCTCAGCCATTTCAAGAGGTCTCAGACTATAATGAAAATACTTTCACTTTTCAGTCCAGTTCAAATGTGGAGTAGAGAGTACAGATACCTGCTCTCAAATGTAGAGAAGCAAGTAAAAAGTATCCACTTTAAAATGTACTAGTAGTGCAGTAACCTCACATTTATACTTAAGTACAATACTTTACTACTTCTACTTCATTTTATTTTACCAGTGACTCGTGAAGGGGTGATGGAGGAAGTGTACAGGGCTCTCCCAGTTAGGAACAAGGAACTTTGTTGCTGAGGCTGGTCTAATGATTTATTAATTTATTTTAGTTTGTCTTCTCTGGACACGCTTCCACGCGTTAACGGCAATGACCGTATTGTTTCATTCATTGTTAAGCATCTTTCTCAGTGAATATGAGGCCGGTTGTGATCAGGCCCTGTGTTTTATTCACGTCTGCTTCTAAACCTTCTTCAGCTCACTTCTGGCCTGCGCCCTGTGGGACAGAGAAAGCAGAAAGTGGCGGGTGAAACCTTGAATGAGCACTCGTAGAAATTATGTTTGCAAGAATCAATTTCCAAATTGATTGTGAGTTATGAAGTAGAAAGCAGATTTATTCTTTGACGCAACAGAACTGGGAGGACAGGGCCTCGACTTCTCCTCTCTTCATCAGTTTTTCCCTCTGCAGAGCATCTGAGCTCTGAGTGCACAGAAACACAACTCTACATACAAGTATCAAAGCGCAGTGTCTTGTGTTTCACATGAGCTAATCAGCTTTTACACTTGTTCCTGGAGCTTGGAGACCGTGTGCTGAGTTTAATGGAGTTTAATGTTAATGACTGCTCTGGGTCTGACATATAAGAATATTTTCTTATAGCAGCATAAATAGTCATACATTTGTAGCACAGAACGTTCAGACAGGTGACTGTGGGGAAAGAGGAGTGATGTGAGTGAAGTTTGTGTCCGTCTGTAAACATGAGAAAGCACAAAAGCACAGGACAGAGCTGGGATCAGTTTGTGCTGGGCAAACACCAGTAGTGTGTGGTGATTTTTATGGGGTGGACATCAATATTTAGTCAGTAACAATTTAATAACACCACTTTTTATGCACACTACATTGCAAATTTATATATTTATTTTATTTCCATTAATTTCACGTATACTGAGTCAGTTGGAGTCAAACAAGAGAAGCCTAGACCCTATAGTTTATTCATATTTGTATATATGGACTGTATTTAACACCCTCTTTGTGGGCTGTTTGTTTCTACCCCTACACATTTTTCATGCAGCTGAGCCCACAAGACTTTTTTTTATCTATGTATTTATTATAATCCATCTAGAACCCACGAGTGACATTTAACAGCTCTACACATGTGTAAAGCACAAACTACACAAAATGTGCTTGCACAAAGATCATGAAGAGATACTAACAACAAGAGTGCACTGGTCCCACAGGTGCACTTATATTACAGTGTCTCTTATAATACAGCCCTATGTGTCCCGTTTGTCCCTTGAAATACAACCCTGCATCACTGTGATGTCCCGAGTCCTGCATACTGTTCTCAGTGTATTGTGAAGTATGCACATCCACATTGTCATGATTCTATACTATTTGAATTAGACTATTGTTTTTCTCTGGTATTAATATGCAATAAAAGCCATAGTGTGTCTGTTATCTTATCAAGGCCTGCTCGTGCTTTGCCTGTGTACTTTGGTTCTGAATTACCAGTACCATGGCTTCTTCTGGCATCCCATTCAACTTGAATAACATTATACAGTTGGTTGCTCACATATTCAGATTTATTATTTTTTTTATTTCCTCAAGTAGCGAGCTTTCATCGTAATGTCTGTGTTGTATTTTTTGAGTTTTTAGTGTAAGTGGACTTTTGATCCTTTCAGTTTGTGTCTCTGTTTGAGCAGCACCTCCATTATACTGCGGCTTTGTCTTCGTGGGTAACTGACATGTTTCCATGCTGTTGGTATTTGACTCAATCCCCTTCGTCTGCAAGAAAGCAAACACTTGTTCCTCTGTAGAGCTCACCTCTTTCTCCCTGGGCTCTTCCCTGTTGTTCAAGGTCACCTCCTGAGCACATCACCGGGGTTTGATCATCCAAACTGATCTTGGTGAAGGCGTACGGAGTTTAAAAACACAGTGGAGCACTTCCTGTATTATCACATGACATCACAAGGTGTTTTCTGTTTGAGAGAAGAACTCAGCCTAAATGTGCAGGTTTGTGTGTTAAACATGTGTGAATGAAACAAAACACAACACCAGGTGTGTGTGTGATGAGCCTTTCAAGGTCCATGGATAATAATGAGATTTTGGTGTGCATGTGTGGTGTGGATATGTCCTCAGATGAGCAGGTCTACAGTCAAGGTTCTCAGCGGTATCTTCATGGTGGCCGTCTTCAGTTTATTCGTCTTGTACAGACTTCCTGATCTGGCCTACCGTATAGCCACGTCCAAGGCAGAGAACGTCAGCAGCACCCTCCAGCCCTGGTAAGCCTGTGCTCCTACTCACTGTTCATCAGGACACTGTGGGACAACTGTTTTCTTATCATATTGTAGAAGGGGAGAAGAGACTATTATTTTACAGAGCTGTGTTTCCCAGGGAGGCGGGAAACCAGCGTGTCTGATAAAAGACACTTGGTGTTTATTCTAGTTGATGAACACCTCACGAGATGAGACAGAGTAAAGACTCCAGATAACATAGCACAACACCTTGGGAATTTATATTATATTTATACCAAAATCACACCTCCGCCCCCTTTCCAACTGGTTGATAAAAAATTACCAAGTGACCGAAGCAACAAAAGCTAATTTTATTATGGACACATCTCCTGACAAAGCAGCACTACATCCCTCCCTTTTGGACCTGGCTCAATTATCAGTCAGACTTTGTGGCGCCTTGAGAGACACTGGACTATCTACCCGTTCCTTAACTCGATCTGCCTTATATCACTTCCTATGGACTGTTTTAATTAATGCGCTGTGTAACACTCCAGTTCAATGATTGTTTGTGTGTTAAGTATTTTCTCATTTTGATTGACCTTCTTGAAAAAAATGTTTACACTTAATTCTGTATTTTTTTGCAGGAAAACTGCTGGTGTAAATGTAATAATATCAAATCCATTTCAGTTATGAACCTGGTTAAGACTATACGTGACCTGCGGGCTCCAATATTATTGTGTAAAACCGGGAGTAAGTATGTGATCCGGGAGTGAATGTGTAAACTTGATCAGATAAGGTCGGCTTAGACGTACAAATGATTTGCATGAGATATGCCCACCTCTATGAATAAAACCACAACACGTGCATCCACCTCCCCTCTTCGACCCTAACCTCTGCGCTCGCTTCGGACGCCGCTTGCGACATCATCGCCTGCCTCCTGTGGAGAGAGAGAGAGCTGTTGCACGCCTGCATCAGAGGCTGAGACCAAGAGTTGATGTCCCCTCCCTCAGCTGCCTGGATCCACACTGGCCCCTCGTCTTCTATCCCGAGACTAGATTCTAGATTGCGTCCCCCTGTCCTATAGCGGCCGTATTAGAAATAACAAGTGAAAGCCTTAAACTGAATTAAGTTGAACCTTGACTTTAAACTACCTCATGTTGTTAAACTCAGTGCGTTACTGTTTGTTGAATCTGTAACCAAAACTTGAAGTTAAGTGCCTGTTTATGCTAAAATAAACCAGAGAGTCATTTTGGCTTCAGTGATTTTTGGGAGTTATAACAAATCTCTTGTCAGGTCTTATTTTTCAGACTGAAAGAGTTGTGTAAGTTTGGTCTGTGGTTTTATTTTCTTAGGAATCTGGTGCCCCATACATATATTTCAATATAATTTTATTGCAAACCATTAGACACACCCCACTTACACCAGTCACAACACACTCTCCTATAATATCATACCATCATATACCATCATATACATTTCTCTATAGGACCACACCACAGCATAGCCTGTCTTTATCATAGACTGTGAATGGACATAAATAACTGAGCCGCTGCATTCCAAACAGGAAGTGAGCATGGGCTCGCTTCCTGCTCCATTGACTGTGGCTCCATTGACTTTCATTGAAAAATGAGTGCTGCTGTGAGCTTCGTCATTTTCATTTTAAAATGTTCGTATTAATCTGCTCTACATGATCTTGGTGTTTCCCCTCACTATTTACTCACAAGAAGTTGTATTTGGTGCATAGACTAAGCGAGTGTGACGTCACCACAGCTTTCAGCTCCACTCCGATGAAGCTCCCGTTGCTACGGTTACAGGAGCGAATCTGGAGCCAGGCTCCATATTTGGAAATCCGACTGCGAGCATCATAGCAACCACAAGAGCCAATCATGATTGAGGTCATTAAATGTGCCCGCCTTTCTCATCAGAAATCGGGAAAGGGGCTTATGGGGTTAAGCAACGAAACACACTAGCTGTCAATCAAACCTGTTTCTCACGCTAGCAAGAGCGACCTCGGGGAATGAAGGCGTCTGATTGGTCTGTTATTTATGTGCATCTCTTGATTTAGGGACAAAATAGCGAAATGAAAAATACAGGATCATGTAGAGCAAATTAATACAAACATTTAAGACCAAAATGACGATACTCACAGAGGGGCCACAATATTTCAATGGAAATCACAGGAGCCAGAGTAGAAAGAGCCAGAAGAGCCGCCTCCAGCGCTTCCTATTTGGAACGCCGCGGCTAGTGCATTAGCTGTGTCCATTCATATATACTGTCAGTGATTTGGAGTCATTCATGCATGTTTGACCAACCTTTGATTGCTTATTTTCACCAGTACATGTCCACTGTGACTTTGTTTTCCAACAGAATTTTCTTAAACAGTGATACTCCCATGTCACACTAGTCAGACAACAGTCAGAGCTCGTCACAAGACACACGTGTCCATTATTAATGTCCACTGTCCCTGTCACCATAAAGTCCAAGTTATTGCACCAGCCCTATTACACAGTTATTGCACCATTGCAATGACATTCATGATGACTTCAGCTCCAGTTGGACACCACAGTCTTCTAACACAGAAGTCAATGAACATTTAAAAAGAACAAAGCATTGTAACAGGGGCCCGTGTAAACGTGAGCTCACTGAGATGAACACAAAAGGACTGGCATGGCGGCTGATATATGGATGGATGGATTTGCATTAGGTTTACATACTGTTCCTTCCTTGTCTCTGTGTGACCTGAAATGTTCAGTTTAATTCCTGGCCATGGTCTCTTTGGGTGTGGCCGCTGGTTTACTTTTATATGTAGTGCAGCGGAGTGCATGTGTTCAGCCAACTGTGAATTATTAAAGTCTTTGTGAATTATTTAGTTGTGCCCTTTGTATAGAGTTCTGTTCTTCCTCTGCTATTGTCTGTTCTATTCAGGACTATTGTTTATCCGGGCACACCCATGGCTAAATAAAACACGCTGAGTGGAGGTCCTTTTCCTGAGAGACAGATGTTGAGCCTGATGTCCCTGTTTTAGGTTGGCCACACACTCTATGCCAGCTTCACGATCCTGTGAGTGCGACCCACGCTCTGTGCGACTGAAGGATCATATTCCCAAGGAGCAGTTTGACCAAGTGTCTGAGCGGAGGAAAGAAGAGCTGGAGAAGCACAAGAAAAGGTACACGTTCTATGTGACGGTATGTGACACATACATACTCATTTATAATTACAACATGTGTTATCCCATCAAATTAAGAAACAACTGAAAATCATCAAAGTCATCAAACGCACTTCATAAAGTCTTAACTTTACAGTAGTTTAAAAAAATAAATGTCTTCATGGAAATGTATCCATGTAAAATATACTGAAGAGTATCATGGTGCTTTGTTTCCACTGCTGTCATTAAAATAGGCTGTGCTCTTATTAATGTGAAGAAGTAGGCAATAGAAACATGTGTCTATTTGTCTTATTCTTGTAAGAACTAGACATCTTAAAGGTGCAGTGTTGCCTGGTGGTGGGTCCACTATCTACTTGATGTGCTGTTTTGTCAAAGAATGTTTGTCAGTATGGCATTAGATGGTGTGTTGATTGTTTAAAGTGCATATGACTGGTGTCATGGTTTGATGAGGTAGTACCATATTTTTAGATGCGCTCTTAAACCCTAACCTGTTGGTGTGTTCCAATTGTAGAAAATAATGACTGGAATCTATTGATTGAAATCACAAAAATGTATTCTCTATTCAATACAATTCTAATACAGAGCTCTGGGTCAAACCACTGTCCCTGCCTATTCTACACAGGACAGGCAGTCTGAACCCCTGCATCTGTCCCTTAACCCAGTATATATACATTCACAGAAATATGCAAATGAAATGTTGATCAGGTACACGCCTTGGATCCTCCTTGAAGCCTCTCCGTTTATGGGAATAACCAGGGGCCTCATTTATAAAGCTTGCTTGCGCAAAAATCCGTGCGTACGCTCTTCCTACGCCAACCGCGGTATTTATAAAACTTGACTAAAGCGTGGCTCTTTGCTTAACTCTACGCCAACTCAGGACCTCCTGTAAGCACTAAGTCTGGAGACACGGGGAAAAAGCGACACTCGTGGAGAGAAGCAGAAGTGAACAGAGTTTGAGGAAGTGTTTGATCAGAAAATCCACATATACAGAAGAATTACCTTCAGATTTGCGCTTTAAATGTTTGGTTCGCCAAAACACGGAGAAGGGCTGTTTATTCCACTCATTATTCTCCACAATATTATACATTTGAAACTCGTGCACGAGCTCGGCCATGCTCCCGGACACGGTGAAGCGCAGAGTCCCACAGTCCACACCGCGACCATAGACTTCTATAGAACACAGACTGTGACCAACACAGAGGACGAAATAATGACCCGACCTGAGAGAAAAACTCTTCCCTTGGACGCAGCAGGAGCCAGGCTTTGATTTAATGAACGCAACTTTAACACTTTTACTTTAGTCTTTACGCACCGAGCGCCAGAGTGACACGAGTCTGCGGACAACACGAAGCCTACTGCCCGAACCTGACCCCAACCAAAATCTGTCCTACATTTTTGTGTAATGGGGAACTGAGCACATGAGAGCTGCTCTCTGACTGCATGAAGAACAGAATAATGCCTGACCCGACCCAGACCCAGACCCACACTCACAGACCCAGAGACCCACACTCACAGACCCAGACCCACACTCACAGACCCAGACCACACTCACAGACCCAGACCCACACTCACAGACCCAGACCCACACTCACAGACCCAGACCCACACTCACAGACCCAGACCACACTCACAGACCCAGACCCACACTCACAGACCCAGACCCACACTCACAGACCCAGAACCACACTCACAGACCCAGACCCACACTCACAGAGGTCAGACCCAGACCCACACTCACAGACCCACACTCACAGGTTCAGCAGGTGGACTTTCATTGGCAGAATAACATCTGTATGTGTTTCATGCTAAATCTGTGTCCTCGTATCCTCGTGTCTCTCCCTCGCTCCTTTCCCTCTCCAGGGGAGGGCATCTGAATCTCTCGCACGCGCTCATAATTTGACCATTCAGATCAGCGCGTGCACGTATCTACGTGTATATGCATAAATATACAGGGCCAGTCCACACACACTTCATAGACAGACTTAAAAATATAGATAAAACTCTTGAAACAGCAAAAAAACACACGGGCTTTACTGCAAAGATGTGCTGCCTAAATGTTATGAAATATGATTAAATGAACAGCTGAGTCGTTGTTGTCACTTTTAGTTTTGTATTTATTTATTAAACCTTGTTTAATAAAGTCTTTAATAAAGTCTTTGTCGTGATCACGTGGTGCTGCGTGGAGCGTCCTCCTCCCTCTGTCCCGCGTGTCTCGCTCAAACCCACTGATTATCGGCTCATGTTTAGGGAAATCTCATTCACCAGTCACTTTACATGCTCCTTTTATGGTGAGGTGGAGGTGTGGAGAGGGCGTGGTCTGTCCTTTTATGGTGAGGTGGAGGTGTGGAGAGGGCGTGACGTGACGTAGGTTTACGTGCGCAAATTGTAGTTGCAGGTGGGATTTATAAAGCAAAGATTGCGTGGTTTGGTGCCTGCGGTGGGTTTTCTAAATATGGAGTTTGCGTGGCACACGCCTCTCGTAGCTACTAGGCGTACGCACTAACTTACGACAACTCCTGCGCAGGTTTTTATAAATGAGGCCCCAGATCTATTTAGGTTTGGTGCCAGCCAGGATGACCCCACATCAGCTGCTCTGTAAAGAATTTCCTTAAAAAGACACAACCTACACAGCAGTATCTTTAAACACATATATCAGATGTCAGTCGTTAAACACTATGTAGGATTCAAACAAATATATAATTTCAGTATTTAATAATTGCATGTGGTACGCTCACAACACTTTATTATTTGTTACGGCCTTCAAACCCCATCAAAAAACGACTGCGCGCCCCACAATCCACCCGCAGTGAACGCAAACACACACGGAGCAGACAGCGACTGCACAACGAAACACACCCCCAGACACACTCATCACTCCACACTGACGAGGAACGGAACGGAGGAACGAATAGAAAAAACGAGTGCAATGTGCCACTTCTAGACACAACTGAACAACTGAGTCACTGTGAACACACCGACAATCCGTTGGTCCCAGACACACCCTCCCTACACGCCACAACTGAACAAAGCCCAGAGTCACTGTGAACTCACCAAACAAACAAAACCACTCACCCATCACACTGTTGGGTTTCCTTTAAAGTCCAGTGTGGTTTATTTGTGAAAAAGGTTTGAAAATAGACCATTTAATGACAGTGTGCCTTATAATTCAGAGCTCCTAATAGCCCCGAAAATACGGTACCTGTATAAATAGTGGTCATATACAGTGTTGGGAAGGTTATTTTTAAAATGTATTCCCCTACAGATTACAGATTACATACCCCAAAATGTAGTTTGTAACGTAATGCATTCAATTACTTAAAGTGAGTAATGTAATCTGAATACTTTGGATTACTTGATTTGCTGTAGAGAAGCAAAGACCAGGATATTGTAACATAAGATGTTTTGTCTGATAAAAGAAAATAAAAAGCCCAGACTTTACTGAACCATATTAAAAATATTATTGATAGAAGACGAGGAGACACGTCCACACAGCAGGATTTAGTCCTGTTAAAATCCTGTTTTAGACATGGTTTAGTCCTGTTTTAGTCTTGGTTTAGTCCTGGTATAGACCTGGTTCTAGTCCTGGTTTAGATCTGGTTTAGACCCGGTTTTAGACCTGGTTTTAGACCTGGTTTTAATCCTGGTTTTAGTCCTGATTTAGTCCTAGTTTAGACCTAGTTTAGACCTGGTTTTAGACCTGATTTAGTCCTGATTTAGTCCTAGTTTAGACCTAGTTTAGACCTGGTTTTAGATCTGGCTTTAGTCCTGTTTTAGACCTGGTTTTAGTCCTGGTTTAGTCCTAGTTTAGACCTGGTTTTAGATCTGGTTTTAGTCCTCGTTTAGACCTGGTTTAGACCTGGTTTTAGACCTGGTTTTAGATCTGGTTTTAGATCTGGTTTTAGTCCTAGTTTAGACCTGGTTTTAGATCTGGTTTTAGTCCTCGTTTAGACCTGGTTTTAGACCTGGTTTTAGATCTGGTTTTATATCTGGTTTTAGTCCTCGTTTAGACCTGGTTTTAGACCTGGTTTTAGATCTGGTTTTATATCTGGTTTTAGTCCTCGTTTAGACCTGGTTTTAGACCTGGTTTTAGATCTGGTTTTAGTCCTCGTTTAGACCTGGTTTTAGACCTGGTTTTAGATCTGGTTTTAGTCCTCGTTTAGACCTGGTTTTAGACCTGGTTTTAGATCTGGTTTTAGTCCTCGTTTAGACCTGGTTTTAGACCTGGTTTTAGTCCTGATTTAGTCCTAGTTTAGACCTAGTTTAGATCTGGTTTTAGATCTGGTTTTAGTCCTAGTTTAGACCTGGTTTTAGATTTGGTTTTAGACCTGGTTTAGGCCTGGTTTAGTGTCTGGCAATAAGTGGAATTACACATTTGAAACACATGAAAACAGGAAAATACCACCCTGTAATCCATTTATTTCAACAAAGTAACTGTAATCCAATTACCACTCACTGAAACAGTAACTGTAACTGAATACAGTTACTTATAATTTGTACTCTGATTACGTAACTCTGGTACATGTAATCTGTTACTCCCCAACACTGCTCATATATTTATGTCAGTCAAGTGGCGGTTTGTGGGAAGTCGATGCAGCTGATGTCATCAACACTCAACATTCCTCGAGGTGATGCTGACTGTAAACATTCTTTTAACAGTCTGACCAGAGAGAGCTGCTGTAGTTGGAACTAGAACAAGTGAGCTGATTTGTGCTGTTAAACAAGTCTCACATGTAGTGTATTAACCAACAGTTTTTCAGAATGCAAAAGTGAAATGTATAAAACATGTTAATACATTGTTATCGGCGAACAAAGCATCTTAACAATAAAAGGTAACATCTAAAATGATATGTGGTAGACCTACCCTTAGACTTAGACTAACTTTATTGATCCACAAGGGAAATGATTTGGACACAGGAGCCACACATCACAATATAATCTAATGACAAAGAAAAATAATATAAATAGTAATTATACATTCTAAATAAATAGCAAAATTAACA